GGTGGGGGAGGTGCACCTTTTGAGCCCCCTCCCCCAGGCCCCCCATTCCCCCAAGCCTGGCGGGGAAGGTATGAGAGGAAAGGTGCTACCTTTTGACTCGATGACGGTCTGGGTCTATTCACTTCGGGTTGGCGAGCTTGTGGAGCCCCAGATGAGCGCACGGAATCGGGGGGTGGGTAGTTCTCCTGTAGCAGTTCCAGGTGAAGTTGCAAGCAAACGAAGCGGACCAAGGTTTCGTAGAGTTGGGGCTGACGAAATGTGTTGGACAGCGCGAGCTCATAAGCACACACATCTATACATACATGTATGATGTATACAGGTTTATTTACATACATCTCTATATATACAGTATGTACATCCACGTTTCTCGTCATGCTAACGCCGATGCCCCTAATGCAGCAGTCGCTCGTGAGGGGGGGCTGTTTGGTTTGTACGGATCAATCGGGTTCCAGCCGTTGTACCGTTGTCGCTGTCTGGTTCGGCCTTCCTTCATTAGGCGGGTCAGTGGTTTTTGGTGCATGCCCCCTGGAAACACCTCAGGCCCCACCCTGCAGCCCCAGAAGGGCGAGGGGGAGAGGTGGAAGTGAGTGGATGAAGGAAGATGGGAGAGCGACCGAAAAGGAAGAGCAGGAGTTCAGCTGGGAAGGAGGGACGCGGGGGGAGCGAGAGACAGAGAAAGAGAGACAGACAGACAGACAGAAAGACAGATAGACAGAGAGACAGAGAGAGAGAGAGAGTGAGAGAGAGAGGCAGAGAAAAAGGGGGGTGGGAAGGATATCGAGGCTGGAGGAGGAGGATGACGAGGATAATGTTGATGACTCCGAGTCCAAGGGCGAGGAAGAGAATTAGAAGTAGGAGGAAAACATAATGAGAAGTAGTAGGATGAACCGGAGGAAGAACAGGAGGCGGAGTAGTAAGAGCTGGAGCAGCGGCTGGAGGATCAGCAGAGGGAGAGAGAAAGAGAGAGAGAGAGGAGAGGAGAGGATAATGGACCATGATGAGGAGGAGGAGGTCGGGGAGGGAGATGTAGATTCGAGGGGCGGCGATGCCGTCGCCATCGTCAACTTGCTGCGCGCTCGCATTTTCCCATCACCCGACCAGCGCCACCAACATCATCACCATCATCATAGACATCATCATTGCGAGTGCCAGCGTCAGCGCCGTCATTACCACCGCCAGTACCATTGCCATCAGTTGCATCACCATCATCATCGTCGTCGTCGGCATCGTCCCCACAGTCGTCGTGCACATCATCATCGTCATCGTCGCTGTCGCCGCCCGACTTGGTTTTGCCAACAAGCTGCGGGTGTGTGGATCGGATGTTTGCATGGGCCTTGGACTTGACCATTTTAGCATTGGCAAGCGCATCGCGCCCACTATATGGCACCAGGCAGATGGGACCACACACCTGGCTTCACACAGCACGGGCCCACCGAATACCGCATACATGTCACCACCTTGTTTACACGACAAAGGCTGCAGCTCATATCCGCGGCGAGCCTGGGGGGGAAGGTTAGAAGGTGCAGACCTACTCAGAAGGCTCGGAAGCCCCCCGGCCTTCTGAGAGGTCTTCGAAGCCTCCCCCGGAGACACAGACGACCTCTCAGAAGGCCGGAGGGGTTTGGAGAAGTCCCGCCGCCTTCTGAGGAGGCCCGCTCCTTCTCACTTCCGCCCCTCTCTCGCCGCCGAACGCAGCGTGTGCCCCACAGCGCACGCACCACACGGATGCCTCGACGTCGCCGCCGCTCCCAGGAGTCGATGATGCAGGGGGACGCCACCCGCGCCGACGTGCAGGCGACCGCGCACACCCCTCGCGCGGGGGCCGGGCCGGGGGGGGGGGGGGCGCGCAATGCGACTCTGCTGGCGCGGGGGGGCGTCGTGGGGGGTGGGGGGGTAAGGGGGGGCCCCTCCTCCTCCCCCTCCTCCTCCTCCTCCTCCTCCTCATTCCCCCTCACCCTCATTACGTAAAACCACTGGTCCTCCTCCTCCTCCTCCTTCTCATCCTTCTCCTCTCCATCCTGATATTGTTTCTCTTCCCTCCCCCTCCTCCTCCTCCTCCTCCTCCTCCTCCTCTCCTCCTCCTCCTCCTCCCACCCGCCCCCCCCCTCCACCCATCTTCGTCTGATGATGATGATGATGATGAGGAGGGAGGAGGAGGAGGAGGAGGAGGAGGAGAGGGAGGAGAAGGCGGAGGAGGAGGAGTATGAGGGCTGCGGGAGGGCGAGGGGGAGGGAGGAGGACCAGGAGGAGGAGAAGGAGGAGGAGGAGGAGGAGGAAAAGGAAGAGGAACAGGAGGAGGAAAAGGAGGAGAGGAGAAGGAATGGGAGGAGAGATGACCTCGGGGGGGGGACATGGGTTGTAAGGGGAGGAGGGGGGATGCAGTGAGGGAGGGAAGAGGAGGAAGAGTAGGATGAGGTGGAGATAGGGGAAGAGGAGGCGCAGGAAGAGGAGGAGGAGGAAGACGACGACAAGGAGGAGGACGAAGGGACATTACATGAAAATTCCGTCCAGGGCGAGGAGAGCATCCCCCAACACGAAATTATTCTCGCATCCGCAGTTTCACTTGGGACCTCCTTCGGGCTGGTTGGTTGGCTGGTGTAAGCGCACACAGGTCTCTCGTGCCATGCGCAGCTCATCCGTTCTGCAGGCGTAGGACCTAAAGCAAGATATGAGTTCGGGAGGGGGGGGCGCATGGGAGATCTGAGGGAGGTAGGGCATCGTACAGGGTCTGAGGGTAATGCTAATGCTGATGCTCCAGCTGATGATACGGGTGATCAGGAACAATATGCTGATCGTGACTGGTGAGGATGATGGGAGTGTGAAGGGTGATGAGGATGATGAGGATGCTGATGGTGCTGCTGCTGAGGATGCTGAGGATAATGGTGATACTGACGAAGCTGACAACGGCGATGGTTGTGATCATGGCCCTGATCATGATGTTTTAATGATGCTGACAATGGTGATGCTGATGATGGTGATGATGAACAGTGATGTTGATGATGATGCCGATGATGCTGATGATGATGATGATGATGATGGTGATGGTGATGGTGATGGTGATGATGATGGTGATGGTGGTGGCGATGGTGGTGATGATGATGACGGTGGTGATACTGATGACGGTGATGATGAGATGGCCATGTTGATGTGTGTACTTGGCTGTTGTTGTTGATTGTGATGCTGCTGCTGCTGATACTGCTGCTGCTGCTGATGCTGCTGCTGATGATGATGATGATGATGATGATGATGATGATGATTATGATGATGATGGTGAGCAGGTGTTTGGGTGTGTTTTGTCTGAGCTTCTTTGATGCGCCTGGCGGTTTCTCCGAAGCTCTTCGGACCTGTCCCCCGGGAGGGGGGCGAGGGCCAGGACATGGGCGGGCCATGTTGGGCACTGGGAGCCCAGGGCGGTGCGGAGGGGGAGGAACGGCAGGGGAGGATCGTGCTCCAGAGGAGTGCAGGACGAGGCGGGCACCAGGGCGGTGGGCCGACAAACACAGGCGTGCGCGGCCATGGGGCCCTGCGCCGTCGGAGGGGTGTCGCCCGTCGGCAGCCAGCCGGGGGGGGGGAGGGGAGTGCGGCTGCAGGAGGAGCAGCCGCGGCAGCTGCGGCAGCGGCCAGGGAGGATCGGCGGCGAGGGAGGGTCAGGAGGGAACAAAAACACGCAGACACAATGAATCGTCGACTCCTGGGAAAATATGAGACGATATGGGAAGTGGGGGAAGACGAAAACCCAGAAACTACGTTGGAACATATGGGGAATCCGGGGATGTATGTCTATTTATTTGTGTGCCCCTGGGCCCTTCTAGAGGGGGAGAAGTGAGAAGGGGAGGGCCCTCGCAGAAGGCGGCGGGACTTCTCAGAAGGCCTCGGGCCTCCTGACTGGTCTTTCCTGCGTCTTCGGGCGAGGCCTCCAGAACTTCTCAGAGAAGGCCAGGAGACTTCCGAGCCTTTCTCTGGGAAGGCCCGCCCCTGCTCGCATTCCCCCCCCGAGCTCGCCGCCGAGAGGAGCAGCGGGGTGGGGACCGGAGAGAGACGGGGATGGGCATCACCCCAGTCAGGTGGGTGGTAATGGTTGGCCACGCGCAGGGGGAGGGGGGGAGGCTTTGACGCCAGGGCGTTGGCCTCGGCGGTCCGCTTTCAACTCTTCAGGTAGGTGGATAGACGTGGCGCGCCGCGGCCACGTGCGGGGAGGGGGGGAGGCTTCTTAGAAGCACCCCTGCTGCTTAGAAGCGGTGGGCCTTGTCTGTAAATGTAGGGCCTGCGCCTTCTAAGAAGCAGCCTCCTTCTCTAAGAAGCCTTCCCCCCTCCCCCAGCCCCTTTGTGCGCGCCGCCAATGTGGTTGGGACCCCTGTTGGAGCCAACTGGTGCCCAAAAGGGGCCCCGAAGGGCCCCGTTCAGGGCCTTCTTCTTCACCCCCCAGTCGGGTCACCCCCATTGCCACCCCGCACTTGGGCCACCCCCCGTCACCACCTGCCCGAATCACCCCAGACGCGCAGATTCTTTTTGTGCGCCTCGGCCTCCAGAAGGTCGGGCCGGGCGAAAGCGGGGGATGGCAAAGGGGGGGGGGTGAGAATCAGCTCGCGTAGCTGATTTTCCCAGCGCCTCCCGGCGCCGGAGGCGGCTATGTATCGAGGAATGGGCCCTTCGGTGGGGCCGAAACCAGCTGCATGCAACAGATTTCGCACCCCCCCCTTTCCCTGTCCCCCCCTTTCGTCCAGCCTCCAGAAGGGGCGGCGAGGCTCGGCGGTGGTGGTGGGTTAAGACCTGCTGCCAGGTGTTCGTGCTGTGGGCTCTCGGTCGGGGCGTGCACCTCCCAGGAGGGCGCATAGTATCAGCATGTTCTTACAGTGCTCCGCGTGCGGATCATGTATTAAGAATGCAGGGGTTTAGTATTGAAAACAAAGGGTGAGTTCATGCATAAATTTATTCATAGATTAGTCATAAATTAAAATCCCAGATGTTTAAACATGCCATGTGTTAAAAACTGCCCTGCGAGCTTTCCAGGGGAGGAGGATGCCGGATGTTGTCGCGGACAGGGAGGAACCCGAGGAGGACGGCGTCGCTGTTGGCGCAGAATGTCGGGGCGCGGCGGCTGCGGAGGATGAGGATATGCGTACGCATGGGCATCAGCAGTGCACGCAGCCAGGCTGAAATAAGTCACCCGTGTACTGCGATTGTAACCTTGCGGGCAGCGGTAGTAGAAGAATGAGAATGAGAATGTCTGTTCACTAAGTGAGGAAAGTGGAGCCTAGACCGAGGGAGGGAGACCACGCCTGAGATCAGACCGTCTAGCCTTCTCGGCTCTACTTAGCACTTTGGGCCACTGACCTTGGCGGATCAACTTCAAATAACCCTCTCCAGTCGGTGTGGCTCGGGAACATTCTTTGCGGAGGTTACGGTTCTGCTGACGGGCGAAGAACCCACACCTCCCGCAAAACCAAAGACCCAACTTCGTGCTAAGATTCATGGCGTGTGTATCGTGCACCCAGTCTCCAGCCACGTGCAACCTATGTCCGTCAGGGACCGTGTGGAAATCCCCATTCAAATTGAGGGGCTTGAAACAAGAGCTGCTTTTCCAGACCTCAAGGCGCTCAAGAGAGGCCGAACCCAAACAGCGCTTGCACTTACGGCCACTGTCATCCAAAACGTGACAGGTCGTGAAAAACGAGACCGCGCTCGGGGCTGGTGCGGGAGCTACTACAGGAGGAGGGGGAGGAGGAGGAGGCCCGCCTTCCTTCCTCCTCTCCAAGTCCTGGAGCTCGCTGGCCATGGAGTCTGCGGCAGCGCGCAGAAGCCTGTGCCTCACCAGGAAGGCCTGTCGCTCAATGTCCAGCACACGATGACGAACTCCAGGGGCCAGTCGAACTTCAGCCGCCATATCGCCAACAAGTTCATCTATGGTGGAATTGCCCAGCACCTTCCAGCTCCCGGCACGTCCATCAACGATATCACTCCCAGACAAGTGTGAGTTGACGAACTCCACAGAAACATCATTCACATCACGTGTAGTCATCACAATCTGAATCTGGGCCCACAAATCCGCATCAGCTCCACGAGGATCTGAATACTTACACTCAGCCCAACCCTTGGATACGTTCTCGCAATCTGTGATATAATGAATGGGGCCTGCACTGGCCCATATGGCAAGCCACAAAGATCGCAACTCCCCTCTGGCCACAGACTGCTTCAAGCCTGGTAAACCTCCGACGATGTGAGCGCCCACCACTGGAGGATCATAGCTTGACATCACTGCCACACCCATGGCCACTCTGCGCAAACGCGGATCAGCCGCATCGGGGCCTCCACTTGCATCTCCGAAGATAATTGTAGGACATTCCGTCGTGCCTCGAGGGAGGCAACCAGGCTCGACATCGACAATCCCACTATACTGCCACTCATCAACAAGCTGCGGGTCTGGGGTTCGCGTCCAAGCTGCTGGAATCAGACCTCTGAGCCAGAAACATGCAGACGCCTCGTGTTGGGACTGGGCAGAAGAATACAACGTGTCACTGGCTTCATAGATCGGCGAGTCCTTGTTGCAACTGCAAGCCCAAGACCGATGAAACGAAGTCTCCACAGCTCCCTTGCAGCGAAGACATGTCATAAAATCCTGCAACTCCGACTCACTCTTGCTGCGATGCTCAGGAAGGGTACCTTTGCGACTCCGAGGCAATGTACCACCGACAGCAATGGAAAGTAGAAGACCTGCGAGCCTCGCACCTCCAGCTTGAACAGTGCCCAACTGTTCCAGTAAAC